ATAGGCTACAGCCCCTGCTGCAGTGGGTTGCCATGGGCTACCATGTGTAGCCAGCAGCCAGCCTGAGTGGCCAGCCGCTGCAGTGAGCGGCCATCCAGAATCCGGCGACTGATCTGCCTCACCTGGGAAGAGCGCAATGATGGTGCCAACTTGGGCCAGTGAAGCAACGTCCTCCGCAACTACACTGAAGAACAAAATGACAGCAACTTGTCTGTTCCCATCCCCCAATTCCTCAATAAAAATCTTTAAAAAAAAAAAAAACACAAGCAGTTGAAGTCTCCCATGCCTGACCCCCCCCACCTCAGTGTCCTTAAAATCCGTCAAGAGCAAATGAAAAATCTTGTATGTTATCTACAATTATTAGTAATTCTGTTTATGTTTTGATCTGTTTGTGATACCTGTTTGTGTTTTATATATGATGCGGTATTTTTTGCCTCTGGATCGTGTTATTAGTTTGTACTATTTGATTGGCTTAAGGGAATTAAGTGGTTATATAAATTAAAAAATATAATAGAAACTAACCCAAATGCTTTTCAGGATAAAAGTGATCTGGGAAAATATCTGATATTAAGCAGGTTTAAATTTGGTTTGATTAAATACATGTCTTAGAGTCACTGACATTATATTTTGTTTTACCTGGGTTTACAAAAATGAATTCATGCTATTGCTGATAACAAAATTTTTCAAGAAAATAGCTTGGGTAATAATTGACTTTGAAATCTCATAGAGTTGTTAAGAAGAAAACTTTTGGTCCTCTTCAAAAACTATAAGATGTTGTTGAAAGAAAGATGACACAAAGAAATGGAAATATATTGTGTGCTTATGGACTGGAAGAATTAAATTAACATTGTTAAAACTTTTATATTACCTAAAGCAATCTACAGATTAAATGTAATCCCTATCAAAATCCCAATGGCATTTTTCACAAAAATAGAAAAAAAAAATCCTAAAATTTGTATGGAACTATACGGAAGATCCCGAATTGCCAATGCTATCCTGAGAAAAGAGAACAAAGCCAGAGGTATCACACGCCTGAATTTCAAACTATATTACAAAGCTATAGTAATCAAAATAGTACGGTACTGGCAGAAAAACAGACACAGTGAACAATGGAACAGAATTTCTTTGAAAGCCCAGAAATAAACCCACACTTGTATGGACAACTAATTTATAGACAAAGGAGCCAAGAACATAACAATAGAGAAAGTCTATTCAATGATATTGGGAAAATTGGACAGCCACTGCAAAAGAATGAAACTGGACCACTATCTTACACTATACATAAAAATTAACTCAAAATATATTAAAGACTTGAATGTATTCAAGACCTGAAACCATAAAATACATAGACAAAAAAACAACAAAAAACAGGCACCAAGCTTCTGGACATGAGTTTTAGTGATGGTTTTGTGGATTCGATTCCCAACGGCAAGGAAAACAAGCAAAAATAAAGAATAGGCCTACATCAAACTCAAAAGCTGTACTGCAAAGGAACCATCAACAAAACAAAAAAGGCAGCCAGCCAAATGAAAGATTTGCAAACGACACTTCTGATAAGGGGTTAATATCCAAAATACATGAAGTATGAATGTACAACTCAACAAAAAATAAACCTGATTTAAAAATGGGTAGATGATCTTAATAGACATTTTTTTCAAGGAAACATACATATGAAACCAGGCACATGAAAAGATGTTTGACATCAGTAATTGTTAGGGAAATGCAAATCAAAATCATAAGATACCACCTCACACCTGCAGAATGGCTATTATCAAAAAAGCAAAGGGGCCGGCCGAGTGGCTCTGCTGGTTAAGAGCTCGCTTGGGAGCGCGAGCTCTGAGCAGCAGGGCTGCGGTTCGGATCCCACATTGAGGGCCAGTGATGCTGGCCCCCTACAGCCAAGATGATGAACAACAGCTCGACCTGGAGCTGGGCTGCTGTGAGTCGCCAGCGACGGCGTAGGCTGCAGCGGGGCTGCACTGGGCTGCCGTGAGCTACGTGAGTGGCCGGCAGCCAGCATGAGCGGCTGGTAGCCGGTGTGAGCTACCAGGAGCTGCTGTGAACGGCCGACCAACGACCAGCGACCGATTGCCTCTCGGGAAGAGCACAATGATCATACCAACATGGGCCAGTGAAGCGATGTCCTCCACAACTAGACTGAAGAACAAAAGGACAGCAACTTGTCTGTTCCCC